AATCAATCAATCTCATACTGCCCCCTAAAGACCACACAGTTTGTTCAATTAATGACCGATGTCATCAGGTTTGAGTAGTTTGTAAAAGTGCGATAAGGCTGTAAAAGCAGACTAGTGAGTAGATGAGTTTACCTGCTAGGTCCCCAACAACTTCTGTAGCCAATTCTTCGCTTGTTCAAGAAAAATTAAAACTTGAACTTGAAAAAACTTGAAAAAATCATGAGAGGGACATCATTGTTGCATTTTATGGCGTGGAATAAAATGGCAGACCTTATTTCAGCCATTTAACCAAAAACACGAAAAAACAAACAAAAAAACACTGACTTTGGGACAATGGAACCGGAAGTGCAAAAATTGCACATTTCCAGGTTATAGGAATCTCTATAGTAAGAATATTATGCTATTCTGATTAAGCCACAGTCTTTTCCCATCTATAATTCCATAATCATTCACTCCAGGAGCCGATTTCACAAAACATTAAAGGGGTGGTTCATTGCGATTTCACTTTTTTAACGTTAGTTAGTGACTAATGTTGATGTTTGAGCATAAACAATACCTCCAAAGTTACGAAGCTGAAAGTTCAATGCAAAAGGAGATATCATCTTTTAAAATTCTAGCAGTTTAATGCCTACAAAAACGGCTGGTAGGGACTACAACGAGTTACTTCCCAGGTTCGTGACATCACAAACCCAGATAAACCCCGCCCTCGGGAAAAGGCAACAAAGGGGGCGAGGCCATGCTGCGCTGCTTTAGAGAAGAGGAAGAGAAAACTAGAGGTGCACGTAAAAATCTATTCATATATGAATCGCGATTCTGTCTTCTAACGATTTTAATGAATTCACAAGTTTCAAAATCAATGTTCTAAAGCAGCGGTTCTCAATACTGTTCCTCATGTCCCCCTGCTCTGCACATGCTCTGCATCTCTCTCTCTCTTTCTCACTCTCTCATTCAGCTCAGCTCCAACAATGAACTGTTCCAATTATACACTTATTTTCACGTAGCTATGAGAAGCGTTAAACATGGATGCACGTGCAGTTGCCATACTGTATGAAAGCTTTAATCAGGATAAAACTGTGTATTAAAAGCTAACAGAAGCAGTAACATTTACAAATAACAGCGTATCTAAAAGTATGAGACAACAACAAACAAAGAACATAAGCCTACCATTAAAAGCCGTGCTTGCACAGGTTCTGCACGATCCTCTTCAATAATATCCTCTGCTTCTCAATCGGGCTCAAACTGTTAAGCAATATTAACGACGCCGTTGTTTACAATACAACCAGAGCACATGCCGCCGAGGTGAGGGGCGGGACGCTTAGACGCGCACTAGAGGCGGTTTAGCCAATCACAACACACTGGGCTAGCTAACCAATCAGAGCCCATCGCCTATTTCTGAGGGAGGGGCTTCATAAAAACAGGACATTGATCAGCGCGTTTCTCAGAGAAGGGACAGAGCGGTGTGAAATAAAGGTAAATTATGTGAAAAATAATGCGTTTTTAAAAAAAACAAAGCATTAACATGTAAGACTGCACCCCATAAACACAATCAAGCATAGAAAAAAAACACTGAACCACCCTTTTAAGATTTTTGTGAATCTGGCCCCAGGACAGAGGAATGTAAATGTGCACATGCCTACCCACACATATTTTTGGTTTCGCATAGTTGAAAATTATGCAGTTTTAGCTGGGGGCAGGAAATCCTGTTATTTAAGATGGGAAATTCTGTATGAGCACTTCTCACTTGCTTATAGCACTTGTCAAGTGTCCCCGTTGGGAGTTTAGGGGTGATAAAGCATTTGTATGAAGATCTCAACACAAATCTATGTGATCTATGATTCGTTATCTGTATAGACATAAAATAGAGGAAATGGAGACCCAGCAGAGACCCTCTTTAGCAGGCTTTAGCTCTGCCCACTCGCTTTGGTTCACATGCGTGTCTGGCTGCCCGTTCCCCCACAGGCTCTATGTAAACACTCCAGGATCTGCTTTAAAACAGCCCAGAGGAGCAGAACGACCAAATCAGCTGCAGATGTTTATACTGCCGCCCCAGCTGCTGCCCTGAACAGGAAGTGGCCGTGGCCAGAGCAACTTAACTCAAAGCTAAATGTGGCAGTAAATATTTTCTGTTTAGGGAACATGAGAAAAGCCACACTAATTTCTTCTGAAAACTTGTTCCAAGTCTTGTAGGAAGTTCAAGACACTAGGAAGAGAGTGAGAGGTCAGCTGGACTTCCTGTCAGTTCTTGCTTTCCCATGAGCCCCATGGTCCATAAAATACCTTGTATCTTATCTTCCATAACTTCATTAACCTAATGAAAACAATTACGGATCACGAGTCGGCCCAGATGGTTCTTATAAAGCTAGTGCACTGATCTGACAAGAACACACTCTGAGAAACATTTAGAGAAATCCGAGAAGGGAAGTTTTGTGGGGATACAGGGAGACAAAGACACTCACATCTACAAATATATGAGTTTTTCATGTGCGTTAGACAAGGAAAGTCCAAAACCAAGTCATTCCAGATTCCCAGTAGACGGTATGTCACTCTTAAAAATGAAGGTTCCTATAGGGGGGTTTCGATGCCATATATAAGAATAATTTTTGTTCCCAAAAGAACCATTCAGTGAACAGGTTTAAAAGGAATGGTTCACCCAAAAATGAAAATGTAATCATCTCAGGCCATCCAAGATGTAGATGAGTTTGTTTCTTCATCAAAACAGATTTGGAGAAATTCAGCATTACATCACTTTCTCACCAATGGATCCTCTGCAGTGAACGGGTGCCATCAAAATAAAAGCCATGGAAAAAGTCATCTCTTCTGAATCAGGAGAGAGATATGCACAGATCAATATTATTATTATTATATATTTGGGTGGATTTTTAAGTGACAGGACAACAGGGGTTGGACTTTTCATTGAAGGAAGCGTTATTATGGATTGTGGTCATGTATTTTGACCAGAGGCGACAGTTTAAAGTTAACGTAAATGTATATGATTATTACAATATGACTTTTCACTGGACTAGAGTCATGTGGATTACTTGTGGATAATTGAATGTTTTAATCAGCTTTTCAGCACCCATTCACTGCAGAGGATCCATTGGTGAGAAAGTGATGTAATGCTAAATTTCTCCAAATTTGTTCTGATGAAGAAACAAACACATCTACATTTTGGATAGCCTAAAGGTGAGTACATTTACTCAAATTATTCCTTCAAAAGAACCAGTGTAATAATAGTCAAAAGAAACTTTTTTTTATATAAAGAACATTTTTTGCAATATGAATGTTTCATGAATGTTAAGTTATCGTGGATGCTATTAAAGAACCTTTATTTTTAAGAGTGTAGGAAAACAATGTTCTTCCCAACAGAAATGTGTTTATTTTAATTGAGATTTGTAGACATAGGTGAAAATTGTATCCCTCTGTGCTCCATTCGTGTACCTCAAAGAGAATTATGGGTACTCTGGAAGCACCGGGAGGCTATGGCAAAATAATAACCTCTATGACACAATTACCTGCTCCATGAGAGGCTTTCAAGATCAGTAATCATCCCATCAAAAACAGATTCCCTTTGTGCTCGCTGAATAAATCCCATGCTCTTCGGCCTGATGGAAGCCTTCCAGAGTATGAACAGCATTCAGCAGGTAGTCCACACACCTTATACAGAAAAAATATGGGACAAAATTGGAATTGAGAGAGCCGGATGCACAAGAGGCTTACAGGCGTGTGATGCAGTTGAAGTGCCAGAAATGATGATAAGATCAAAATTTTTCTCCACAGGACATCACGAGATCTTTACTGTGATCTGTAAGCTCTGGCTTTATAGAAGCTGTCTGAGATGGGTTTTGTGGTTGTCTGCACTTCAGTGTTATGCTGCTTAAGGAGTTCTAATGGTTTTTTGTGAATGTTATGATCAGGAGGATTGAAATAATTCACCGAGTTTTTGCATGGAAAGATATGCCAACTGGAATTGGACGCATTGGATAAGGTTGTTTGTGGTTTTGGATTGACAGCAGCTTGGGTGGCATTTCTTAGAAATATATATATATATAAAAAATAATTGTAAAAATGCAGTAATCTTTTAATGAAATGATCACGGTGTAAAGTGAAGTACTCACAGCAGTGAACACACACACACACCGTGAACACACACACCCAGAGCAGTGGGCAGCCATTTTTTTGCTGCGGCGCCCGGGGAGCAGTTGGGAGTTCGGTGCCTTGCTCAAGGGCACCTCAGTCGGGGTATTGAAGGTGGAAGAGAGCGCTGTACATTCCCTCCCCCCACCTACAATCCCTGCCGGTACGAGACTCGAACCCGCAACCTTTGGGTTACAAGGCCACAACTTCCCCAATGCAATTGTTTTCTCAAAAGCAGAAAGAAGCCTATTATGCTTCCCAAGGCTGCATTTATTTGATCAAAAATACAGTAAACTGTTAATTATCATTACAATTTAAATAAGTGTTTTCTATTTTAATATATTTTAAAATGCTATTTATTCCTATGTCAAAGCTGAATTTTCAGCAGCTACTGCTTCAGTCTTTAGTCACATGATTCTTCAGAAATCATTCTAATTTGCTGCTCAAGAAACATTTCATATTGCTGTGCTGCTTAGTATTTTGTGAAAATATTGATGCATTTTTCAAGGATTTTTTTTTTGATAATTATTGAATGGCAGAAATGTCTTGCCCTGAATGCCCTGACATACACAAACCTTTAGCACCCCCTTCTGCCTGTACAGACTAACTTTAACACTCTACTTATAGCATTATATTTTGTGTAAGATTTACAAACGTGTTTCATCACAGCCAACTATATATACTGACACTATATATTTATCTACATAACTCTACATAAGTTATCAGAAAGCTGAAAATCAAGTGACGTTTTTGTCTGGCTTATACAATATTTTGGAGTTTGATATATTACAAGTGCCTTGTATGCTTTTATGAATTCCAAGAATCCTGACAAGGATTACGAATGGAGATATAAGTTTATGGTTTCAAATTATACTCTGTACAGAGACAAGAAAAAAATGAATGAAATCTGAGAAAAAAAAAAAAAAAGATAAAAGACTTCAATCAAAATATTCAGAAAGGAAAAGACAAAACAGACAAATATAAATACAGAAACTGGATATAAATTCTGACCTAAAACACTTAAAATGCCAGAAATGCAGCCCTGTTGAAAAGTCAAATAAATAAAAGTATTTTCTATCTCATGAGACAAGTTCATTTCAGCGTAATATGAGGTACCCACTACCCAGTGGCACGATTTAGTCTGTACAAGGAAGAGTCTAAAAACACACATAGATAAACATTTAGATCAGCTTAGTGGCCATTAATATTTCCACAAACACAGTCTAGCACTAAAATTAATTTTCAGTCTCTACTGAAAATTTCCAAAAGCATGTGGCATGAAGTGTTATCTGTTGATCACCAGCTCCCTGTGGATGCAAATACCCCTGAAACTGGTCATATTCACACAAGAAATTGTTCTTAGCAATAGACCACTAGGACCACTTTCCTTATTAACGTCGCTGTAAATAGTGGCTTCCCTTGTTGCATTTTTGTCTGGCATCATGGGAAAAATGTCTCTTAGAGGCCTGAAAAGGGAGATGTTTTATTCCAAGAAACCATCCAGAGTGGTCAAGCTGGAGGTGGGCTTGCTTGTAACGGGCCTGGACACCTTCTTTCTCTTGGACTTCATGGCGAGGGGTCGAATCTCAGATAAAGGAGACTGGTGCACGTACTAAAGTTAAGGAAACATTATGAAAAAACAAAACAACAACTTCAAATAATTATTTACATACGTAATGGTAGCAATATAAGTATTTTCATTGGATAAGGATACAGGTTGGATAAATTTGGCTCTTCCCCCAAGTCCATCATAGCCAGATCTTACCTGGAATAAAAAAGATGCATTAAGGCAAACTGCACAAAATGTTCAAAGGTTTGAGGTCTATAAGATTTTTTGTTGTTATTGAAAGAAATCAATACTTATATTCAGCAAGGATGCATTAAATTGATCAAAAGTGACAGACATTTATTATTTATAATTACAATTATATAGCAGCCTTTGTGAGCATAAGAGACAGAAACATAAAAGAAAATCTTACCACCCACAAACTTTTGAATGGTAGTATATGTGTGCATGAAAACCAAGAAGAGTTTTGAGAATGGCCATTTGTAAATTGTATGGGTCTGGCTTCCAGTGTTATTTGCTGCTTGGTATTGTAAATATGTGTCTTACCATATTATTTTTAATGTATTAACATAATTATGAACACACTGGTTTGTAGTGCAAACAGTTTTACCGCTTACTGCACTTTGTTATTCTTCTCGTTATTTCTCTATGGCGGCTAATGAACCGGAAGTCTCACACATTCACAGAAAACGGCTTACTACCATGTTGAAGAATAAGGTGGATAAGTTACAAAAACATTTAGAAGTCTCTCACAGTGCCAAATTTGCATGGGTCCAGCATGCTCCCTAACGCGTTCTTTCTGAAGAGCAGCGAGTTCCTTAACATGGGCCCCATCATGACATCATCTTCTTTAACACGAGCATTCTGAGAGCAAACACACACACACACACACACACACACACAAACATTACACCCTCCATCTAATCCAGTCTCATATTCTTCAACACCAAGACATCCTGCTTGAACACATACACTACGTCCAAGTGCATTTTCCATGTTTTTGGATGACGATCTGTGGAAAAATGAAAACAAATGGACATCAGTAGAAATCATATGAAGAGTTGGACAAAACCGTACTGTGCGGAGTAAAAACTCACACCGAAGGGTCCAGACGCATTTTCTTAGATGGCACCTGAACGGGTTTCTTCTCCACCTGTTCGGGTGTGTTAATGTCAAAGGTCAGGTTGAGGTCAATTTCCTGAGAGCCTGTCATCAGACCATGACCAGGAGGCTTCAGCTCCAGAGGAGCAGGGCTGGAAATACAAAAATCAACAATGTCTCTTACAGCAGATCTACCAAATAGCCAAGTTTTGCTCAAAATACAAACTGAAATTCTGACCTTTCGAAGACCAGTCTGCTGATGGCCTCATTGGTGCGGGTCGGAGTGCTTAATGTCCGCTGCAGAATTTCCACCTTCTTCTTCAAGCTCTGTGAAACATGAGATGTCAGATCAAGAGTTTAGAAATAGTCAGTTTGAAAAAAAATTGCACCCCCTTGTGGCTGATTTGAAGGGCATCTTGTAAAAATATTTTGATGCTTATATTAAATGCATTTTTACAGAATAGTAAGATTTTTATGTATGTTCTCAGTTCATCTTTCCCTTCCAGTCTATTGGTGTTCAAATTATGCAAATTTTAACCTTAAGGCAAGACACTACAGGTGAATAGGGTACATTTTAATTAAAGATCATCACACTTCCCCAGTTAATTACTCGCAGTACATTAAAGACATAATATTTTGCATTACAAGTTCTAAAATTGTAAGTTTAAATATGCAAATTAGGCATTAACTAATTAAAAAAACACACTAATTTGCATACATTTCCAGAGCAGAAATCTGAACACTGGAAAGCCAGGATCAACATTTTTGTTTAATTTTGTTAACATACTAGAGTTAAAGATCCAAATTCCCTTCCGCAAAAATTTGTTTTTTTTTTATCTCTCCGCAATTCAGAAAATACTGTCAACAGTCAGAAAAAAATTCTACATGTTTTTAGGAATAAAATTATATATAATCCAGACGAATGTTTTATGAACAGACCCCTCTGTAAAAACCTTCAGAATTTAGATAAGATTAATGGCCTTTAAAGATCAACAAATGCAAATAGATAAAGTGTAATAAAGTAGAATTTCTAACAGTGATCTCTTTGTCTGCGTTGGACAGGTCATTCTGAAGTGCCTTCATGTCCTCCTTTGTTCCGTTTGTCTCTGCAGTGGCTTTCTGCAACTGCAGTAAAAAAAAAAAGGAACATACATTACAAATAAATAAACAGATGCTGAAAAAAAACTATAAAAAGATCAATAAGCAATTATACATTTCTAAATAATGATATTTTTGATAGACAGTCTCAGAGACAAGAAATGAACCTTGCTGTTAGAAGAGATGAGTTCCCTTTTTAGTTTCTCACACATCTCATTTGATGACTTGAGGCTTCCTTTCAGATTGTCGTACTCCCTGAGGATAAATTAAATATAACACTCACATACAGCATATGAGGAAGCACAACTGGTGTACCGACATTCTAAACGGTTTGGGGAAGTAAAACTACTGAGGTTTTAAGTTTTAAACTATACAATCACACTACATATGCAGCAGTGAGAGTGTGTGTATTTGCAGGAAAGTAAAGCTTACTTTTTAAGTGAGATGCAGTATATGGACAGCTGTTCAACAGCAGACTGACCAACACCCATATCAGTGATCATGGCCTCCACCTCTGACCTTTGACCCTGTAGGACCACATCTAAACTAAAGGACAGCTATAAAAAGATCAATAAGCAATTATACATTTCTAAATAATGATATTTTTGATAGACAGTCTCAGAGACAAGAAATGAACCTTGCTGTTAGAAGAGATGAGTTCCCTTTTTAGTTTCTCACACATCTCATTTGATGACTTGAGGCTTCCTTTCAGATTGTCGTACTCCCTGAGGATAAATTAAATATAACACTCACATACAGCATATGAGGAAGCACAACTGGTGTACCGACATTCTAAACGGTTTGGGGAAGTAAAACTACTGAGGTTTTAAGTTTTAAACTATACAATCACACTACATATGCAGCAGTGAGAGTGTGTGTATTTGCAGGAAAGTAAAGCTTACTTTTTAAGTGAGATGCAGTATATGGACAGCTGTTCAACAGCAGACTGACCAACACCCATATCAGTGATCATGGCCTCCACCTCTGACCTTTGACCCTGTAGGACCACATCTAAACTAAAGGACAGAAACATGCACAAGAGAACATATGAACAAACAATAAAGTCTACTAAGTATTTTTTAACCTTACAACTAATCAGACAGTTCATTTATTATTTTTATTGTACACATGAGGAGATGGACACAAACTTTTCGGCTCTCAGGCCTTCTTCAGTGTGTCAGTGTATCAATCTCCTAATGTGATCAATAAATAATAATAAAAAATAAAAAAACTTCTTGATTTTTTGAGTGTGAATCACTATTGATAAAAATAGTTTTCATAAAAACAACACTGATTTTTTTTAGTTTTTTACAAATTTGCCACTCATTAATTGTCTCTCTCACACACATACATTTAACAACAAAAACCTGTCTTAGACAAATGAATTAGTACCTTTCATAGGTTTTCATTTTGACTCTGAGTCGCTTGGCTTCCTCTTTGGCTGCCTGCCCTTCATTTTTCTGACTCTCCAAGAAATTCATCTGTTTCTGAGAATTTCATGTACAACAAAGTCAATACCAGCATTAAAATAAAATGCAGAAAGCATGCTGGACTAACAGACACAACAGTTTACTAAAATAAATGTACCCGGAGGACAGCACACAGCATCTCTTTGTCTCCGATTTCCTTCTGGACTCTATCCAGGTCCCTCTTCTGCCTCTCAGTTGTGTCTTTTAGAGTGTCCACTGACTTCTGCTTGTCCCTCCATTCTTTCTCTGGAATGCACAACACATGCAAACACATAATATAAATGGATGGACATTTTAAGGATCAATCAAACTCGAGTTGATTATTTCAGTCTTACCTTTTTCAGACAACACTGCTTTCATGCTATCAAGCTCATTCTGAAATTGGAACAATAAAACAAGCACATCTGTCAATAACTGTTAACTGCGTAAACAAACTCTGAGCATTGAATAAATTCAACAGCATGCTTTATCACCTGTAAACTTTCAGGATCCACTGGCGTCCCATCATCCTCTGGTGCTATGTCAAAGAACAGCTTGTTGATAATGTGCCGTGTACTGACCTGAAACACAAAGAGTGAGGGTTTCATTGCAGTCCAGACCTTGAATTAGTTTAATTGAATTAATCAGACGAATAAGTCAGTTCACGGGTTAAGTCAATGGTTTACCTGTTTCCTGCATTGCGGACAGGTTTTGTTTGGGGCCGACTGAAACCACTGGAGAAGACTTTGTTGAAAAGAAAAGAAACAGAAAGTCTTTAAAAGTCATTGAGAAACATTAATTATTGTTTAACATTCAAACACTGACATTTCTAAATATTTGAATGTACATACATTAATAATTGGTCAGGTTCCCACACCTTTCGACCATTGAATTTTCATAACTTTATCAGGTATTTTATTATGGGTTTAAATAAAAATAATAATTTTAAAGACACTCGTTATAGAATTTTTTAGCAATGAGGATCCTGTGTTAATTAACATGTAATGGTATAATAATTGTGCAGTATTATAATAACGCATATAATATTATAATATCAACAAAAACAAACATGCGGTAGAGTAAAAAGGAGACAGACTTACCAGACATAATGAAAAGTGTGGCCACAGTGAATTGCAGCCACATCTTTGGAATTATCAAATAAATCTGAGCAGATGGTGCAGTATGCTCGAATAGGCATTGTTTATCTAAAATATTAGACACAACATGATCAAAATCTTTACGTTGATGGCACGGTTTGTGTTTTGTTCATTACTGATGTGTTGTGGTACCCTGTACTACCGGTTAATTACTTAATGTGCTGCGTTTACTCACCCAAATGACACTGAGACGACCGAGAGCTCTTATTCACATGGATTTGTTTAATTAAACTCCATAATTGTGTGTATATGGCTTGTTTTTGCTTTAGTGTTGAGCTCCTAAAAACAGTGAAGCGGCGCACTTAGTTCAAACCTAATGACTCCTCCTTTTTGATTGCGTCATCAACATACGACTCCGTGCTGCCTGGAAATATACGGAAAACCTATGTTCTCTGATTAAAAACTACATTTCCCATAGTACATCTCGTGCGAGATGACGCCTGTGACGGTCCGAGTTGACTTTTGATCCAGGTCAAGTCAACACACAGTGATTTGGATACACACTATTTAAGGTACAGTAACGATAATTTGTATTATTATGAGTCTAATCTATATGAACAACATCTGTTAGACTTGATTAAGTTCAAGCTGGCGCAGAATACGTTGTCTTCTAGTGATATTGAACAGTTTTTAAAGGTTTAGCTCCGTGGCTCGTGCGTTAGCCGGAGTGGAGGTTTATAGACATGATAAAATCAACGAATCTTCAATATGCGTTCAGTTGCAAGAATATCTCAAGATTGCCATTAACATACACTGTGTTTGACAGTTTTAAACAGAGAAGCTTTTTTTTGCATTGAGATTTAATTTAAAATTAATTATTATTGTCATAAGTTTAAATAGTTGAAATACTTGTGATGTTTGTGTGTCAATGTTATTATTGCTGGGAAATGTTAGCATATTTAATAAAAGTGGTTCAGAGCGTTTTATACTTGTATGAAGTTTTCAAACAAATATAACTTTCAAACAAAAATGAAATTATGTAGCCTAATTGACTGTTGTTGGTCACTATGAACAAATGTAAGATTTGTTATAGATTTTTTAATTATATTTGGCACCCTAAAACATTTTTTTGTTGGGGGTTGGGGGGGTGGGCTTTAATTGCATAAAACTGTGTCTAAATCCATTAGAACAGAATATTATGAAATGCATCAAAAGAAGAAATGACATTTTAAAAACTGAGGAATTAACTAATTTCTTGTTCCTCTTTTAATGTCTCTTTCTGTAATTTCACTTCCAGACACTGATGGAAACCCTATAAATTGTACTGTAAGATCTTCCAAGCTGTTGGGATCATGCAGTGAATCGCTCCTGGCACTGACTGGCGGTTCAGGACACCGTGTCCTCTCTTCTGCTGGGTTTCTCTTGTGCCTGATGCCAGGATGGCGGCAGATGTCCACAATAAGGGTGCACTCTGGGAGGTTAAAAATGGCAACTTGGTGCCATCAGATCGACTCGGCCAGGACCGATCGTATAGTCCAACCCCAGGGCTGGTGGAGGGGACAGAGCCAGGTTAGTTTAACAGTTTATACTCTCAGTTATAACGCTGTGTAATGATTAGATGCAAATATATTTTGCTTTTGTCATGGATTGTAATCTTTATTTTTACTTGGAATTTTTTTTTTGCTTTGACAAAGTCGTTAAAGTGACCTATACGCTTCTTAAGCCTATAAGGGGGGGGGGGTCTCTATAAACAAACCAGACCTTATTTCTTAGTCATGCATATCCTTGTAATATCCCATTGTATTTCCCGTTGTGAGTGATCAAATAACTTGTATGTTTGTATGTGATGGATGACTAGAATCTCAGAATTAGTTTAGCTGTGTAAATGATTCTTTAGAGAAGTTGAAGTTTGTCACAACACAGGCAGTTTCATAATGATATGAAAGTTTCAACTAAATCTCCTGGAGGATTTCCCAGAAGCCCCGGGAGTATGTGAGGGCTGATTCCTGAAACTGGAAAGTTAAGAAGTGTGCCTATATTGTATATCGGTGGATACTTGGCTTTGTGGGAATTTTTGATCCTTAAATGAGTTATAAGCGATTTGTGACGCGTGTAGTTAAAGCATTTACAGAAGCTCTTCACGCTCATTTACTGTTCAGTCTCAACCCGCAAGTTTTTCAGAATTTCAGATTATATTGGTTGCGTTTTTAACAACATTAAGAGAGCAGGGTGACCCATGGCTAATGTATTACAGAATATAGACTATAATTTAAAAGTTTAGTAAGATTTGTAATGTTTTTGAAAGAAGTCTGTAATGCTCACTAAGACTGTATTTATTTGATCAAAAGTGAAACAGTAATATTGTGAAATATTATTGCTATGTAATATAATATTTTTATTTGAATATATTTGAAAATGCATTTTATTTCTATAATAGTAAAGCTGAATTTTTAGCAGCATTTACTCCAGTTTTCCATGTCACATGATCATAAATCATTCTGATATGCTGATTTGGTGCTCAAGAGACATTTCTTATAATTAACATATAATTATGTTGAAAACAGTTGTGCTGCTTAATTTTTTTGGTGAAAACTATATTACATGTTTTTTTTTCATGATTCAAATGAACAGTATTTATTTGAAATAGAAATCTTTTGTAATGTTGTAAATGTCTACACTGTCACGTTGGGATCAATTTTATGCGTTAATAAATAAAAGAACTAATAAAAAAAAGAATCTGACTTTTAGTAAGCTAGCTAGTGTTTAGTTTAGCTAGTGTATATAGACAACAATTTTATGACCGCAAAAAGAGATGCACATAAAATTGTTAAATTTAACTCTTTAATTAAACAGTTCACTCAAATGCACAGAAAAATACTTTATTAAACATATTTTTTCTTATTATTTATTATCAATTTACAAGGCTGTTGTTAATTTTTTTTTATTCACAGGTGTTGTAACTCATATAATTGATGATTACATGAATGATACCTCAAGTCAAGTAGCTTGTTGAGCAGAGGTGTGCTATTACTTCTCTAAGCAATGTGTCACTCCCTGACAGGTGCTGGACAGGAGGGCGCCATGTTCGTTCATGCCCAGTCTTTTGAGGACTTGAGTGCTGACAGCGAGCCCAACACCGATGACAAATCTGCAGAGGTTGGCGGCTCAAATTTAGGGAATGCTCAAGAAGAGGCTCTGGAAGGAGGTGAGGAGGAGGTGCAGGAGCGAGGTTTAGTGATTGAACAGGAGGAAGGAGGGAAAGAGGAGGTTCGGAACAGCAACAAGGCAAAAGAGGAGGACGTGACAAGTGAAATGTGGCGGAGTCACAGGAAGCATATGTTTGTCTTGAGTGAGGCGGGGAAACCCATCTATACACGCTACGGAACTGCGGAAGCGCTCTCCAGCATCATGGGAGTCATGATGTTGCTCATGTCATTTGTAGAGGATAAGAAGAACATCATACGCTCCATCCATGCAGGTAAGAGATATTTAGAAAGAAAGCAAATGGAAAATAGCTGGTGTTAATATATGGATGTATGCACATTGCACACTACTGTTCAAAAGTTTGGGGTCAGTATGATTTAAAAAAAAAAAAAAAGTAATACTTTTAGTCCGCAAGGATGCATTAAATTGATCAAAAGTTGCAGTAAAGAAATTTATAATGTTATAAAAGATTTCTGTTTCAAATAAATGCTGTTCATTTGAAATTTCTATTCATCAAAGAATCCTGAAAAATAAAATCCATCATGGTTTCCACAAAAATATTGAGTGACACAACTAAACGTTGATAATAATGAGAAATGTTTTTTTGAACTTCATTTAAATGAAAATATAATAAAATAGAAAATACCTATTTTTAATGTAATAATTTTAAGAATATCATATTTGTAATATTTCACAATATTACTATTTTTGCTATATAGTTTATCAAATAAATGCAGGATTGCATAAGACTTCTTTTAGAAACATTTAAAACCAGCCCCAAACTTTTGAACAATAGCTTATACCTTTTTTTTATATACCAAATTTATGTCTTTTATTTATTTATATATATATTAACATTAAGTGATAAATCACATCTCTTAGATTTGAAAGGAATTGTCTTCCTACAAAACTACTGCAACAACAGTATATACAGTTAAGTAAAGACATTTTTGTGTGTAAACGTATCTTTCAGATGGCTACAGGGTGGTATTCCTGCGGAAAAGCCCTATTATCCTGGTGGGAGTCTCTCGCACTAACTGCTCCGACCGGGAATTGACACGAGAGCTTCAGTACGTCTACTACCAGATCGTTAGCCTGCTCACCCTCACACAGCTGAACCACGTCTTCCAGCATCGACAGAGCTACGACCTGCGCCGCCTACTGGCCGGATCAGAACATCTCACCGACAACCTTCTGCGGCTCCTCGATCAAGATCCAGGCCTGCTGCTGAGCGCCGTGATGTGCCTGCCTCTGGCCAGTTCGGCCCGCAACGTGGTCTCCTCCAGCTTGCAGGCTGCTAGAGCCAAGAACCTGGTATTCTCCATCCTGCTAGCAGGAAACCGGCTGGTGACGCTGGTGCGCAAAAAGGACCAGTTTCTGCACCACATGGACCTGCACTTGCTCTTCAACTTGGTCGGCTCTTCGTCCTCATTCCGAGAAGGTGAAGGGTGGACGCCCATATGTCTGCCCAAGTTTAACCCAGCTGGATTTTTCCACGCACATATTTCTTACCTGAAACCAGCCTCGAATCTGTGTCTCATCCTGGTGTCCACAGATCGTGAGGATTTCTTTAACCTCTCCGACTGTAAGAAGCGATTCCTAGAGCGCTTGCGCAGACGCAGTGCATATCAATCCCTGCAGGAAGCACTGAACACCCCAAGTTATCCTGTTTCACAGGTGGGCATACCTGAGCTGCGACACTTTGTGTACAAGTCTAAAAGCTCTGGGCTCTATACAAGGTAAGACAGTTTAGTGATGATCATGAAAAGAAAAGAATGACTGTACATAGATAGACACATTAAACCTTCATGTTTTTGCCTTTTATGTACCTTCCTGTTTTTTCCTATCAGCCCTGACCTTCCAACTCCATACCAGGGAGAAAAGGAGCATGAGAGGCTGATGGGATTGTACCAGTACCTGCATAGCTGCCTGCATCAGCCCACACGCCCCCTGCGCTACATCTACCGCTGCACAGAGACTGAGAACCTTTATGCCTTGGTGAGTCTGCCATAAAGTGCAATACACTGGCATTATTAGATACCATTCAGAGATTTTGTTATGTGTATGCACGCTCGAGGAGCTAATATCACATTTGTATATGTTAGTTATGATTTCTGTGTTGTATAAGCAGTCTTAGTTTACAGTTTTGTGTTATATAGTCTTGCCCTACCATTGAACAAAAGTTTTGGGTCAGGAAAGTTCAAAAGAACAACATTTATTTGAAATGGTTTGTAACAATATAAATGTCTTTAATGTCATTTTTGAATTTAATGCATCCTTGATGAATAAAAGTAAAAAAAATACTTACCACAATTTTTGAACAGTAGTGTAATTCATGATTCCAAGCGATAAACATTAGCAGGAAATGGACTGTATTTTAGGTAATGGACTATAAATACTAGTCACTCAGAAATGCTTCTGTTTGTGAATCTTTTTGCACATTCAAGTCTTTAAGCTTATCTTTAAGCTTCCTTCTGCCGGCCATAATTAGATCAAGGATGTTTTTCAGTTTTCATTTGAATTTCAGTTAGTTTAGTAATTTATATACATATATATTTAGCTTTACTTTTATTTCCATTCTAATCTTAGCAATTTTAGTAACTTAAACTTGTTTTATGTCAGTTAGTTTTAAAGGCAACATTTATTTTTTCCTAAGTTTATTAAGTCTATTATTTATTTTTTCTTTCAGCTTTATTCAAATAATGAAAAACAGTTTAAAAGTTTTAGTTTTGATCAAAAGTTTAAAACCCCCAGAATTAGACCACTCCATCCCAACCACTTGCCTTCTCTCCAAAATGTAACTTCCAAAATATATGTCAGCAAACCCAAATATATTTATATAAAAAAAAATAAAGACAGGCAGAGAGTGTTTCTGATTGGCTGCTAAATTGGCAGCAGTTTAAACCCTGATGCTTTCTGCTTTTCTTACTTTGTCAAACCTGTAGGTAACAAGTGGCTTTGAGCTCTACCTCTGCTTCAGTCCTCTGGGAACAAAGGGCCTGGCTGTGTCTGCTGTCAACAAACTCCTGAGGTGGATCAGGAAGGAGGAGGATCGTCTGTTTATACTCAGTCCCTTGACATACTGAGCCAGTTCAGGCAGTTCTGAACACCAGAAACACTAGTGAACGTCTGACCCCAGACTGCTGAAAGAGCAGCATCTGTGACTCTACATGAATGAATGAAGATGCAAACGGATGCTGTCAGATATTAAGGGCTTGATTGATATTTTGAGGATTATTCACGCAGGTGAAGTATAGTAGATGTAATCAGCAAGGTTTGAAACCGAGTAAAGGGTGTTTAACCAATCCTGTCAGCAGTTGTCAATGTATGAAATACGATATTTCAGATAATTGCTTTTAAACGTGGCCCAGTAACCAGCAGCAAAACCTGAAGGCAGTAGATTAGCAATAACAACTGAATAAATGCTCACAGTGTTTGTACGCTGCTGGAAACTAAACATCTAGTCCTGTGCATTTTACTAGACCTGTCACTGTTTCAACTTAACATCTATAGTTATAAATGAGCCAAGGTAACAAATATTACTGATTGCATTAATAGTTTATTGAGCTGTGGCCTTCATATTTCTTTATTTTCAAGAGAAGATAAACTGAATCTTTATCATAGCTAGATTTTTATGTTTCCAGCCTGGTGTCATTCATAAAAGTGTGGTGTGGTGGGACTAAAAGTATTTCCTAGCTAACCAAACTGACTTTATATAACAAGACATTTCATTTAAGAGACGTGACTGAGTAGGTGCACACTCTGAAAATATCTGAAGCATGGCTCGATTTGAAGTCTGTATAGTTAAAGATCTCCATCTCTGTGTCATTGTGTCTCATTTTAATGACTGACCATGTGTTGCTACTGAGGGCTTCCCCAAATCACTAAAGGACCAGTTGAATCAGAGATAATATAATTTTTTACATTATGCTTTTCTTTTATGTTTCGTAGATGCACTTGATTGTTAATTTGTTACTAATGCTTTCATTTGAATGAATAGGAGAAGTGACCCAGTGTGTCAGGAGGACCTCTGATGTACTCGCTGCTCAAGTCATTTATGGTCTATGATGTAGATGTTAATATATATCAGAGGAAACTAGGTTGAAATTTGCACGTCTGGTGTTTCAAAAATATTGGTGGAGGTGGTGGTGGCACTTATTCTGTTTACTTTCTGTCTAAAGCTGTTTTGACACTGTGCATCATGTTGAAAACAATCAAAAGAAATTAAATCCATTTACGGGAGACATGGATCATTTGCCACATGTTTACCCTTTTGCTTGGCATTCTTGGTCGTTCCTCAAATGAAAAATAACATGATACTGGTGGTTTAGGATATGTACTTGGCAGGAAATACAGCTCACTGTTACATTTTTGTGTCCTGTACTCTACCATTCAAACGCTTGGGGTCAGTAAGATTTTTTTTAAATGTTTTTGCAAAAAGTTTAGAAAGCGAGAAGAGTAACATTGATTAATAATTTCAATTATCATCATTACTTTCACTGTCACATGAGCCCATACACTTTAGGTGTGCTATGTATATTTATATAGTAGTAGTAGTTATATATTTTCTACAAATGGATTGCATTTTGTGGACAGAGCAAGAGATTATATGAAATTAGTTTTGTGATTTAATGAGATCGTGAAATGATAAACATAACTTTTCAAGCGGTAATACAGTGTTGATATCGTAAGAAAGTTAAGTGTTGAAGCCCCTTCATAATATATAATAATATATTAATATAATATAATAAACTATTGAGTAGTAATTGGATATACCACTGATAGCACACATTTTTTTTTTGTTACAAAAGGTTTGGTATGAATATGTGTAAATGTTTTCATTGAATCAGAAAGCTCAATTAAAACTAGCCCAAACACAAGAAAACGTTGATGTTGACCCTTTCCATTTATAGTTATATAATGTTATATGTGATACAGACTACAATTTGAAAAGAGAGTTGGGATATTTTTTATGATTAGGACTACACTGACAAACAATATTTGAACATTTTATAATCAAGCACAGAACCTCTGCATATGTGTCTAAAGTACTGTACATAGCCTATTGAATACAAATGTAAATGCATTTAAATATACCACCACAAACATTCATCTACATTATACCATATGTTTTCTCAAGCTGTTCTGTAACTGCAGATACGCTTCCACAGAATTAGAATTGCTGGCTGAACAGTTACTCTGTCATATGAGTGTAGTCAAACACTTTCCGGTGTCTAATCCTTGTCAAACTGCTTTTTATTCTCTAGAAACTTATTAACAATGTGGCATATTGTTCACACCAACAACTTCCGACTTAAATTTAACTCTGGATTTAGAATTTAAGACCAAGTTTGGTATTGTCAAGTAACCACAAGTGTTAGTAAAGTTCAAAATTAGAGGTTGCTCTGAAAAACCTCACTCAACAAGAAAGAAATCTCATTTTGTTTTTAATAAATCACTGTTTGTAATGAAAACTTTGTGTATCTGTGTTATGAAGGCATTGAATTAGATTATTTAAAGATAAGAGTTTATCTTAGGTTTTTACTGCTCAGTTGTGTGCTTTTGAGAAATATTCTCACAACCTGACCGACACATTATACTATTTGGACAAAATGTGCGCTCTGTTTAATCTATTCATCAAATGAATAACATTGAATCCTACTATGGCTTGGCTTGGCTCATGAATATTAATCAGGTTACGTGGCTGGAAGGCTGCCAAAGGACGTCTGCATTGCGTAAGTAATATTTATGAGCAGGGGTGTCGCCATAGTAGTAATCATTTCCTTATGCGGGTGGGCGGGGCCTGTCAACTCAGTCAGTGCTTCTAACGAAACAAGCAGTCGCCTAAAACACCAAGACATCTCTTTCATCATATGTTTCTAAAGTTTCGTATGATCTGGTTTTATGCATAAACTAAACTGAATGTATTGTGTTGATATATATTGAAAGCTGTTTCCCTTCTTTCAAAATTTTTTTTTCACTACTACATGTCTACATGTTCAGAATTGGAAATGCAGTTATTGATCTATCCTGAGATCTGTACTTCACCGGTTTACAGTCACTAACAGGTGAGTGCGTTCTTATTGCCTATTTATCGTAAAATATGAAATTAGATATATACAAGATTACATTTTTTCTTGGAAAACATAATTGTACATGTTCGATCATTTATTGCCTTGTAATTTTGTCAAAAATAATTTAGATAATAAATAAAATAAACATGATTCATAAATGGCAACAGCTCTGTTAATTCCATAGATACTTGCATACCTTTTATTGATTTATTATTAAAAGTCGATGTCTCATGTCAGACAAAAGCTGAATCCTCTTTTCAAAGACTAAACAACCTTCATTTTAAAACGAACCATTCTCTAAACTTAATATCCATGGTACAAATAAATCCTCCACTGGGGCTGCCATCACTTAGAATAAGCAGCCTGTGTTTAAGATTATTCTACAAGCTTTGGGAATCTGTGAGATTTATTTTTTTGTCAGTGCAAACACAAAGAAAGTTACTGAATATTTTAAAACAATAAAACATAGCAAAGTATTTGCCTAGTCTAGTGATATGTTTTAAAGAAACGCATACTACTTTCCACTGTTTCCCTAAAGATGAATAAATTCTTATACATGTAGTCTGCAGAATGCATTCAAAGCAGAGGTTCAAATGCTGTGGCATGATTTTGAAAAGTAATTAGCTCATTTGTTAGTTAAAAAAAGCTCTTGAATGAAAAGCAAAACAGTTCGTTTGCAACTTTTGCACAAAAAAAGCACGTCTAAGTTGTGACAAGAATGACAATTTGAGAGGCCCTCAGTGTAGAACATGGTGATGAGCTCTTAATAATTAACTCAGATGAGAACCAAGAAATATTACATTGAACATTGGTTGGAAGCCAACCATTCTTTCTGAAAGGCCTTTTATATATATAAATATATATATTGAAAGTAGTTCTCTCGGAGTTGTTCAAAATATCTATTTTTACCTTTTAATGACTTTCTCTCTTTCTGAGACATGACTTAAAGCTGCAGGCACAGACAGACATGAGTAAGTAAAACCTCTTTTAGTGTTTACAGACTTGAAATGTTTCCCTTTGCCATTTATGACAAATCAAAACATAATTCCCCTCTAAATTACATTCAAACATTCGTTAGGTAATCATTGCTTCACATCATTTTGAATTTGAAACCTTTATTTTATCATAGTATGGCCACTTGCCAATATCCTCGAAGTTGGGCTGGTGTGTTTAGTTTTTTTGAAAGATATGGGAGTGACTCAATGATGACAGAAGTCTCTTTTTTGTGTCTATTCATTAACCATTTTTAAAGGAAGCTTCTTTTGTGATTGTTATGCTCTCAGGCCTTCCTGTTCTCAGGATGTCTTCATTGACAGATGCCAGCTGGAGCTAACCCGCAACACACTACAGCCATTTTTTTTCACCCTGGAGTGGACATGGTCCAATGGGCCACTCATCTGGTGACATGTGTCTGGATACAGGCTCTAATGTCTTCTGCATTAGAAACTTGTCCCCCAACGGCTCCCATCGCTGTGGACTTCTTAGTGCCGTACCCCATGCCTTACTTCCAGACCCACAATCCCATCCAGAACATAGTTACTAACTCCCTTTTCCAAGAAGTCTATGTGGCCTCTCAGAATGTCATTGAGGCGGTGAACATCACTCTAGGTAAACTTTGGGAACTCCATACGGGACCCGTGGGCAGTCCGGAGTGTGAGATATGCAATTTGTGTGAGATCGCAAGAGATCCCTTCCATGAGGACACAGACAATGAGGTGTTGCTCCTAGACACGTTCTTGATGTACTTGTACTCGTGTGGAAGCTCCCAGTATGGAGTTTGCTATTTCCATCAACTCCATGAAAATGGAAGGCCTCCTGGGACTTCAAAGTGTTTATTCCGGAAGAAGTTCAACTCTCCACAGTTCTGCCCAGATTGCATCGCTAGTCCTTTGGGAACGAAAGTCTCCATGGTGGAAGAGGGCCAAACGGTGTACTTCTTTGTCGCGGCAACGGTGAACAACAGCGTAACGCAAAAATACGGTCGCATGTCCATTTCCGTACGCCGACCGGTTGCAACTGAGGACGGTTTTTACACCGATGTCAGAGGGCTGACGGTGTTGCCTGCTCTACGGCAGACATACAGCATTGAGTACATCTGGTGATGAGCGCTTAATAATTAACTCAGATGAGAACCAAGAAATATTACATTGAACATTGGTTGGAAGCCAACCATTCTTTCTGAAAGGCCTTTTATATATATAAATATATATATTGAAAGTAGTTCTCTCGGAGTTGTTCAAAATATCTATTTTTACCTTTTAATGACTTTCTCTCTTTCTGAGACATGACTTAAAGCTGCAGGCACAGACAGACATGAGTAAGTAAAACCTCTTTTAGTGTTTACAGACTTGAAATGTTTCCCTTTGCCATTTATGACAAATCAAAACATAATTCCCCTCTAAATTACATTCAAACATTCGTTAGGTAATCATTGCTTCACATCATTTTGAATTTGAAACCTTTATTTTATCATAGTATGGCCACTTGCCAATATCCTCGAAGTTGGGCTGGTGTGTTTAGTTTTTTTGAAAGATATGGGAGTGACTCAATGATGACAGAAGTCTCTTTTTTGTGTCTATTCATTAACCATTTTTAAAGGAAGCTTCTTTTGTGATTGTTATGCTCTCAGGCCTTCCTGTTCTCAGGATGTCTTCATTGACAGATGCCAGCTGGAGCTAACCCGCAACACACTACAGCCATTTTTTTTCACCCTGGAGTGGACATGGTCCAATGGGCCACTCATCTGGTGACATGTGTCTGGATACAGGCTCTAATGTCTTCTGCATTAGACACTTGTCCCCCAACGGCTCCCATTGCTGTGGACTTCTCGGTGCCGTACCCCATGCCTTACTTTCAGACCCGCAACCCCATCCAGAACATAGTTACCAACTTCCTTTTCCAAGAGGTCTATGTGGCCTCTCAAAATGTAATTGAGGCAGTGAACATCACACTAGGTAAACTTTGGGAACTCCGTACGGGACCCGTGGGCAGTCCGGAGTGTGAGATATGCAATTTGTGTGAGATCGCAAGAGATCCCTTCCATGAGGACACAGACAATGAGGTGTTGCTCCTAGACACGTTCTTGATGTACTTGTACTCGTGTGGAAGCTCCCAGTATGGAGTTTGCTATTTCCATCAACTCCATGAAAATGGAAGGCCTCCTGGGACTTCAAAGTGTTTATTCCGGAAGAAGTTCAACTCTCCACAGTTCTGCCCAGATTGCATCGCTAGTCCTTTGGGAACGAAAGTCTCCATGGTGGAAGAGGGCCAAACGGTGTACTTCTTTGTCGCAGCAACAGTGAACACCAGCGTGACGCAAAAATACAGTCGCATGTCCATTTCCGTACGCCGACCGGTTGCGACCGAGGATGGTTTTTACACCGATGTCAGAGGGTTGACGGTGTTGCCTGCTCTACGGCAGACGTACAGCATTGAGTACATCTATAGCTTCTACACGCAGGACTTTGTCTACTTCTTGTCTGTCCAACGAGAGAAAACCAACTTGGACTCTTCGCCCTTTCAGACAAGACTAGGCCGTCTGCCACGTCACGAGTGGGAAATGCGACGCTACCGTGAAATTGTTTTAGAATGTCGTTTTGAACCCAAAAGGCGAAGGAGAAGCAATGGCAGTGAACCTTTTAAAGATGTGGTCTACAACGTGGTTCAAGCGGCCCACTTTGGCAAGGCCGGACGGGAGCTCGCAGATGAGCTGGGTGCTGAAGAAGAGGATGATATCTTATATGGCGTATTTGCTGTAACTGATGACTCGGGCGTTCCTGAACACGATTCAGCACTTTGTGCATTTCCGATGGATACGGTAAACACGGCAATAGACGATGGAGTGGAGGACTGTTGCAAGTCGGGACCAGAGCAGCTTTCCAGAGGCCTTTGTCATTTTCAGCCCTGTGAGAGCTGCCCACATGAGGTTGGTGCATTTTCAGTTTATTTACCCCTTTGTTTTTTGTTTGCAACAATCTATTGTGTGTTCTCTATGTGTTTGAAATATTTGCAGACTAATTAGGTTAAAAAACAACTGAAGGGTTAACGAAAGCCTCTGTGACATACTGTTGAGTACTACAGAAAAATATCCTTGACTTGTTCCAAAGGAAAACTGTAATTAAACACCGCAAATAAACATTTAAAATATGTAAATGCCACACTGTTTTGAATGTCTAACTTTAGCACATCCTTTTACGTGTGGTTTTGAAGAAATGGCTCGTGGATTGCATTTCTTGTCCATCATTGCTTTCCATATATTGGCCTTATTTTTTTTCCTCTTCTGTCTGGTCCCTGCACTATTGTTTTACGTTGAGACTTACCAAGCTTTCTAGTGGGCGATTTTTGTTCTTTTGTTGCAAAATGGTTTGAGTGACCACAGTGTGGGTCATAAGTCTTGTGTTTTGTCTCGTGTCCTTGTGTTTATTATTACTTCAGCTCCTATAGAGAGTAACAATGGCACTAAAGGCACTGCACTCATAAATCATAAACTGGTCTGATAAAAGAAACCTTTTAAAAATCCTTCTGTATCCATTAGCACTGAGGCTCCGAGATTGAAATAGTTCCTTGAAATACCAAATAATTTTGTCTTTATGCAGGAATTAAGAGCAACTATTTTAGTCCATTAGAATCATTGGGAATAACACTGTTGCAAAACAGTTTGGTCCCTGTAGGAAAGTTTAACCATTATACCCAATAAATATATAATACCGTTTTACCCAATAAAGAGGTTATGTTGAGTTCTAAGTTCGTGTAACCCTTAAAAGGCCTTAAAAATATATGAATTGCTTAATATAAGTCTGTATATGAGGTTGCTATTCCTTTATAATCGCTGTTAAAAGTTTTTTCTTTAGGCTGTGCTTGTTCTTGAGTCTGATTGCCTTAGACATTACTCATGACTTGGAAATTATTTAAAACTTGACTCAGACTTGCAAAACAGTGATCAAAGCCTGACCTCTTGGCATTCCAACATTAAAACCCCAAATTTGAAGTTTTTGGTGCTTCCATCATTTTGAGTTTTAGAATGAATTTCAAAACAAGTAGCTTAAGTAGCCTGTAGTGTTGTTCTATGTGTGAATTTTTTTTTAAAGCTTTTACTGCACCAGCTCTGTTGTGAATTTCATATTCAAGCCTGTAATAGTTCTGCGAGACTATCTAACATCTGTTAAATAACTTAAATCTAATGTTCCCCTGCTCTGTACTACAGCAGGATTCTCAGAAAACAATCTCAGCCACTCACAGAATGAGTTTTCTTTCATTACAGTAAGCATTAGAAGACTGATTTTGAATTTTGTGAATATCCAGGAAGGTATTTGAACATTAAAAAAGTTAATGGAAAAATGATGCACTTGTAAGGAAAAGCGGTCTAGAGGAACATTTTCTGGCATGCAGCAGCTGGAACAATTTTTTGGCTCCACCGAAGGTGTCAAAGAAACTTGGAAGCAGAAGCAGAACACTGAGTTCATGCTTTTAGTATGTGTTCTTAAACGGCTGTCAGTATTTGTATTAAGTATGCTAAATCATTTCTCAAAATGAATTCTTTTTCTTAGTCATTTGCAATTATTTTTAACCAGCATGTGTCAAGGCGAGTTTTAGTCTTTGTATGAAGTCAGTTCCCCTCATGTTCCACTTGGTTTGATATTTTGCTATCTAATGCAGTGACACTATGATTCATTTTTGATTCTGATTCACGAGTCACTGCATATTTATAAAATACTCATTCTAATTCATTTGTAATTTCTAGTTAAAGAACTAATTTCTTATCTATCATTTTCTGTTTGCCTATGCTAGTGAGTGAGAAGCTGCATACATGTGGTTACATGTCTTAAAATCTGTGAAGTTTGCACTGGAGGAGATCATAATTTTAGTGTTTGAGTGAGAATTGGCTACTTTTACAGTCTAAACTTCCCTGTAATGTGTGGGAGAATGTCTCGGAAATCTCAGGGTGTGAGTGCGAGTTTGCTGCCATAAAAAGTTTACAGATGGTATGTGTCTAAGAGTGTGTGTTTGTGCAGTTAAAAGAATAGGGTTTTCCACTGAGGTCAGTGTTTATGGGAAATGAGTGGAAAAAAGGAGAAAATGACAGTGTAATTTTTGGGATTCCAATAAGAGACACTCACCAGATCACTCATTCTGAATGCACTTGTTAAAGTGTATAATTTAGCACATTTGAAAAGTGCTGCTGTGTTTATTATTGTTATTTTTATTAAGAAACCATAATCTGAAAATATAGAACTCCTCTAATTTGTGGTTAATCAGTCTAAATGCAGAAATTAAGAAGATTAGAGTGTTTCCAGACTGGAAATGCATTTGGGAGAATTATCGTGACTGTCTTTGTTTTCCGAAAATCTGTATTTTCAGGCTAAGATGTCAGTTGTGACTAGCTAGCACACTTTCTATGGAAAGTTCACAGCCACTTCACAGTTGTCTTGGGCCATGATTTGGTTAGTCAAGGATTGTGTGGTTGTCTTTTGTCTGATGCTTGGAGTTTCAGTTTTTTGTTAGGAATGCAGGAATTTGTTGAGAGAGCGACATGTGATAGCTTAGTTTACAGCAGATCAGCGCAGAAACATCACTACAGTGCTGAAGTACCCAAACAATAGAGATTGAGTTCTTTTGTGTTATGTTTGGAATTCTTGTGGTGAGAATCGAAATTGGCGGCCTAGATTACTGGAATATCCAAAATATCCAAAACATTGTCATACAAATGTCATTTAATTTGTCAAGGTATAATCTATTTACTAATGTCTTTTTATTTTTATGCTAACTTCTAATTTAATTTTTCAAATTTTCAAAATTAAGAAAGAGCTTTTGTTCTTTCATAACCAACTTTTGAATGTTGTACTGTACATCAGAGCGTCTATCAAAAGGAAAGATATCTTTAATACAACAGTGCAGCTCTGATTATTTTATTGCGTATGTGTGATCAGAGCATGGAGCACAATATGACCTGCAGAGATCAGCCCACGCTGGTGTCTCAGCCATACTACAGAGTCGACCTCTTCAACAGACAGATGAGAGGCGTTCTGCTCACCTCACTGCTGGTCACCAGCATTGAGAACAAGACAGTGGCTCATATAGGCACATCAGATGGGAGACTGCTGCAGGTATGGGTCATAAAGAAGACAGTTACTTGCTATGCCAGTTTCATTAATTATAATATTAACCTCTTTTCTTTTTAATGCCGCAGCTTGTCCTGAGAAGATCCAGCCCCGTCATTTTTGCTAATTACTCCCTTGTAGAGAACCATAAGGTGTCGTCTACCGCAGCTGTTCTCTCGCCGGACCATCTACTGTTTGTGATTGGAGATAAGGTTTGTATCATAAACAAATTAAAGGAATGAATCTGATGTAATACCAACCATGATTTCATATACATTGTTTAAGTAGTATGCTGTATGAAGTATGCTAGAATTCCAAATGGACGTGGCTAAGATTCCAGAAGACTGTATTCCTTTTTCGGGCTAATGATGGTTATAAAATCAAAACTGGCAGATGATTCAGGTGCCTCAGAGGGGTCCGGGTTGTCGGCACTTCCTCACATGCGCCATGTGCCTGATTGCACCAAAGTTCATGGGATGTGGCTGGTGCTCAGGTCTGTGCACCTGGGCTTCTGAGTGCAGGACACACTGGGGAAATGAGTCATGTCCGCCCGGCATCACAGAGGTGAGACTTTAAACACACACCAAATGAGCTGTTGTGTAATTTAGCTGAGATTCTTATTTGTTAACAAGGTTTATCCATCAGTGACTCATTTGAAATGTATTGTACAGTTAACAACAATAATCTTGATGTGAAACTAGATTATAAATACATTTCTAACCCTTTAAGATATTTTAAAAAACATTTCAGATGTTTAATAATCTGGACAGCATTTTAAATATTTGATAAATATATAATATGATAATATATAAATATGTGTTTATATATATTATTTGAAATATTAGGTGAGTATTTGTATTGATATTGATAAGTATTTATCTGTAAAATTTATCTGTAAAATAGCAAACATGTATGGAAATGTTCTGTGTAGTTTTTCCCCAAAACAGCACCCCCTGATGGTCAGAGTGAGATGACTCTGTGTGGATGGGAGTTCCAGTCGCCCCTGCGACCCCTCATCACGGCCAGAACCCATGAGGTGAAGCTGGGAGAAACCGCCTGTGTGGTCCAGCCTCACAAAAGCAACAGCACACAGTAAGTTTTACTGATTTCATGCAGGGTAATTATAGGTAACTAAAACCAAATCTGAAACTAAAAAAAAATAAATAAATATATTTTATATATATATATATATATATTTTTTGTTTTGTTTTTTATCTATATATTTTTGCCAAAGCTACATTTCTCATTTTAATTTAGTTTAATTTGATGTACTAACATTATTAAAACTAAAACTTACACTGCTGTTCAAATTTTTTTAAAATATTTTTTGTTTTAGAAAAAAACCAAATACTTTATTCAGCAAGGATGCATTAAACTGATCAAAAGTGACAGTAAGACCTATTAGTAGAATGTAACTGGACATTTTGTCTGCTCAGCTTGTTGTGTAAGATCCGTTCTGGGGCAACAGAGCCACTGTTTAAAACAGTGAACATCACTGCTAAAGTGCATGAGGGCCGAGTGGAGGGCCGATATTCCATTGAAGGAAGTGCCGAGATGCCCGGATTCACCTTTGTGGTAATTAGTTAATTCATTGCACATACAAAACATGCATTTTCCTCCTCTTAAAACCCTCCACCTGATTTTTAAACAATAGTCATTAGCAAGCTTGTTGACAGCAGATAACCTTTGCCCAACATATTTTTTACACAAGGTCCCAAACATCACTGAAGTCCAGCCTGACTATGGACCTGTGAATGGAGGAACACTCATCACCATCACAGGCCCTTATCTGGATTCTGGGAAGAACAGGAAAGTTACGCTTGATGGAGAAACATGTCCAATCAAAAGGTGTGTGTGTATTCAATATAACAGGGCTCTTCAAATGGGGGCGTCTAATAGAAAAGAAGAGGGTCTGCTAATTGTATAAAAAAAATGCAATGTGATTATATTAAAATTACATACACTACTGTTCAAAACTGACCCCTTTAAAGCTATACGTTTAAAGTTCCAGCTCTGTTTATTCATTTTCTCTGTTTAAGATTATATATGTAGTGTTCATGTTCTAAAGTGAATGTTATTCCACCTACAGTGTATCTGTGGTAAAAGGAAACCTGTCCTCCATCGTATGTCTGTCTCAACCTGTGACGGAGGTGAAAGACGTGGTGCTCCGTGTCTACATAGATAAGTCCCGTGTGGTGACCACTAAAGTCTTCCGGTACAAGGAGACCCCTGAGATTCTTGCTGTGCTGCCCGATTGCAGCTTTGACAGGTAGATGCAGAAAGTCATACATTTTTGACTTATCGGCAGTTAAGAAAACAACCTTTCAGAAAAGTTATGGAACGTCTAACATTTTATTTTGCTAAATTACAGTGGGTCAAGAATCATCATTGAAGGCCGAAATCTGGACTCTGTCTACAGAACTATCATCTACTTTAAACCCAAAGAAAGCCACCTGAAACCTGTTTCCACTGTATGAACTGTAAACTTTCACTCCTGAGATCTGCCCATATTGATCTATTGCCTTGTTTCTTTAAAGTGGTCATATCATGAGGAATCAAATATTGCTTAATATTTTAAAATAAAAGTGAATTGTAACATACTGTAAGTTGGTAATAAGAAGGTAGCAGGATAGATAATATTATTCCTACTCACTAGTTGAACCAGTCAAACGTTTTGCAGATCCTTCATTATCTAAACATTAGAAAAGATTGGCTAGTTTATTTTTACATTTCAGTCTGATCTCAGTTTGAGCGGCATGTTTTCAAAGCACTGTACCTCATTTCACATGCAAAGTGTTTTTAAGAAATGATATATTTAGTGTTGGGAGATTCTATCTACTCTCTTTAATGACCACAACTTCACAACATTTAAGACTTTCATAATGTTGTCTCAGTCTTCCACCGAGAGCTGTGATTATGAATTTAAAGATTAAAGTGTTTTAAATCTATACACTATACACTAGCCTAGCAGCACAGGATTAGCATTTTTGGATTGCAGCATCAAAGCAAACAGACATAGGTTTGTGCACCAATAGCCTCGTGAGCAGCACGCCGACATACTGTATAGTGCCGTTGTGCTTCGGGCGTCCCAAGTTCGAGTCCTGGCTCGCAGACCTTTCCTGATCCTGTCCCCCCCCTCTCTCCTACTTCACTTCCTGTCTAAATTCTGTCCTGTCACAGTAAAGGCAAAAATAAATCTAAACAGAAAAAGATATAGATTTGTGAGCACATTACTTTTTTCTTCTTTCACATTTGCTTTATACTGTTGTTCCCTGAAGGAGTGCAGAGGTAAAGCCAAACCCACCCGTATGGAGTGCATCACCCCGGTCTTCCATCGAGATGAGACAGAAGAGGGTGAGCTCTCATTTGACATGGATGGAGTGCTCGGCCTGTGGAAACAAGACTTCTCCTACCACCCCTATGGCAGACCCATCCCGTTTGAGACTGAAGGTCACATACTGAGACTCTACCCTGGGTTTGATGAAGTGTCCTTGCATGTATGTAGATACTTCTATGATTACAATCCCATTATTGCATTGCTGCACTTTTTCTACTTTTAATTATCTTTCTGAGTAAAGGTTTAGAATCTGGTATTCAAAATCCTTTTTCCTCATGACGCAGCACCAAAAGTTGAACCTCGTGAGTTCCTGCATGTCAATCACGATGACAGTTGGAGATGTTGACTGTGGTGCTAAAGTTTTAGATAATGAGATCACATGCAGGATCCCTAATAATCTCACCATTCCCAGTGAGGGTTTACCTGTGAAGGTGAGTGTTTGAAAGTATGTGTTGATCTATAAATGCAGTAAATTACCTTGTCTTTAGCCAAAGAAATAGCCATTAGTTGCATAATACAACCTCATTCTGACATCAGTATTTTCCTGTACTAGGTAACGGGAGTTCCAAACAGCTTGCCAAAGTGAACTTTCTGGAAAGTTCAGCTGGTAAACTTCTTCGAACTACCATTGGTCCATGGCACTTACATTCATGAAGCCAGCCTTCTTTGACATGGAAATCCAGTTTTTTTTTTCTTCTGTTTAATCCATCAAGGTCAGATGCGAGTAAAAATGTGAACACGCTGGAGACCTGCTTAATAGTAGAAATCAAAGTTGCAATTCTAATCGAAAGCTACACTGACACTGTTTTTTCATGTTTAATACTGTAAAGCTGCTTGATTTAAAGCAATCTGTTGTATAAAGTGCTATAAATAAATGTTACGTGACTTGATCTGGCTGGAGAGCTGAATTGCAGAGCTCATGCAAACATATTCACATCGCTATGATCAGATGCTTTCTTAACTGCTGGTTTCTGTCATTTTACATATTCATCTCAGGATGTTAGCTAACGGTATGATGCTGCTCAAGTGTTTCGAAACTTTATTTTACTACTTCTATATCAGGGCCTTTAGGGCTCCAAACCGGTATGTTCAATTAGTTAAATTTACCTACGAACTGTTCTTTGCTTATGTATGTAGTTTGAGACTGAAGGTCACATACTGAGACTCTACCCTGGGTTTGATGAAGTGTCCTTGCATGTATGTAGATACTTCTATGATTACAATCCCATTATTGCATTGCTGCACTTTTTCTACTTTTAATTATCTTTCTGAGTAAAGGTTTAGAATCTGGTATTCAAAATCCTTTTTCCTCATGACGCAGCACCAAAAGTTGAACCTCGTGAGTTCCTGCATGTCAATCACGATGACAGTTGGAGATGTTGACTGTGGTGCTAAAGTTTTAGATAATGAGATCACATGCAGGATCCCTAATAATCTCACCATTCCCAGTGAGGGTTTACCTGTGAAGGTGAGTGTTTGAAAGTATGTGTTGATCTATAAATGCAGTAAATTACCTTGTCTTTAGCCAAAGAAATAGCCATTAGTTGCATAATACAACCTCATTCTGACATCAGTATTTTCCTGTACTAGGTAACAGTTAATGGGTACACACATAATGTTGGCATCGTAATCTTGGTCAGTAACCACTATATGATGGGTATTGTGCTTGGCATACTGGCAGCTCTGGTCACGGGTGCGGTTATGGCCTTTATTGTGCTGAAACACCTGAGAAAACAGAAAAAAGGTGAGCACAATTTATGTCACGTCTCACTAATGCAAATCTTTTGCAGTCATTCCTAAATCTGATATCTCAACAAGCACAGCTGTTATGAAAAAAAAACACAATCAGTTTTATCACACCCTTTTTACCCACAGCTTCGCTGGCAGAAAATCGTCTTTCTTACTTTTCTCATAGTCGTTCACGTAATAATAGTGTGGATTTATGTCCCTTAGGAGACTACAGACGTGGTGAGACAACATCTTCACATCAGTAACAAATTTTAATTTATGTATTTTTTCATTGAAACTTTGAAGTTGAAGTCTACAGATACTTTAGAAACACTTCCATTATGTTCTTTGTTGTTTACAGAACTGCCCCTCACAACCATCACTGCACCTTCTGGGGCCGTGGCGTTCCCTGGCCTGGCCTACACAGGCACCCTGGACACAACCCTGACCCCTCTCATGACCCCAGAGAAGATATCCATCAGCAGTTTCCGCCTGGAGCTGCTGGAGGAGGTGAAGGATGTGCTAATCCCAGCCTCCATGCTCAAGGTTCACCACCACCAGATCATAGGAAAAGGTGTGTCTATAAATAAAATATGCTGTGTGCTGCAAATAAGTTCAGTACACTACCTTTCAAAAGTTGAGAGGTCTATAAGATTTTTAAAATCTCATCTCACCAATGCTCTATTTATTTGATTAAAAATACAGTAAATACAGTAATATTGTAAAAATATTTTTACTATTTAAAATAACTGTTTTTTATTTGAATACATTTTAAAATATAATTTATTCCTGTGATCAAAGCTGAATTTTCAGCATCATTACTCCAGTCTTCAGTGTCACATGATCCTTCAGAAATAATTCAAATATGTTGATGCTGCTCAAGAAACATTTATTATTATTATCAATGTTGAAAATGGTTGTGCTACTTAAAAAAAATTTGTGGAAACCATGACACTTTATTTTTCAGAATTCTCTGAAAGTAAGAAATCTTTTATAACATTATAAATGTCTTTTGATTAATTTATAAGTCTTTGCAGTATAAAAGATCTTACGAACCACAAACATCCAGGGTTTAGAGCATGATATTGCTTCATTTCTCAAAAAAAAAAGCTATTACAAGAAAAGGGAATAAGGTCATATTTTGAACAAAGTTTATTGCCACTATTAATAAACATGCTTTGTTTTGTAGGACACTTTGGGACAGTTTACCATGGTTACCTCACCGACCACAACAACAGAGAAATCCATTGTGCTGTGAAATCTCTTAACAGTAAGAAACTCCTCAATGAAAAGAGCTCATAAAGACACTCATGAAGAACTGAACTACCCTCTCGGGATTACCTGCCTGATAAAAAACAGTTTACAGTGTGTACAGTACACATTAAATGTGTACTGTACCTTGAATGCAATATAAGTTCCTTCGGATAAAGTGTCTGCCAAATGCATAAATGTAGCAGTGGTTTATGCAAAGATTTTTAAACAACATTTTGAGTTTTTTTTAGAAGACTGATCTCTAAATGTAAATTGACTTTAATGGCTTAAATAATATAAATGTGTACTTGCAACTGTATTTTCTCATATTCTCTCTGGTAGGAATAACGGATGTGGAAGAGGTGGAGCAGTTTCTGAAAGAGGGCATTCTGATGAAGGGATTTCATCACAGTAATGTTCTCTCTCTGCTGGGTATCCTGCTTCCTGAAGAGGGACTTCCCTTGGTGGTCTTACCTTACATGAAACATGGAGACTTGCGTCACTTCATTCGCTGTGAGAAGAGGGTCAGTTGCTAGAACATAAACTCTTAACACATCAAATATGTTACATATTTTCCCTTTTACCTTTGCCTTGCACAATAGGTTTGTATTTGTGGATGGATTTCACAACATGACCTCCTGCACAGCTCAGAATCAAGCTCATGACCTTGCAGAAGCTCCATTAGTAATGTTTCCAAAAATTAGACAAACTCAATGTGTGCCTGTTACATATAAGTCTTATGTAGATTTGTTGTCTTACCCTAGAATCCAACAGTTAAGGATTTGATTGGCTTCGGGCTCCAAGTTGCTAAAGGAATGGAATATCTGGCACAAAAGAAGTTTGTACACCGGGATCTGGCAGCACGCAATTGCATGTGAGTTTTGCATGCACAAAGATTTTGCATTAAGGCCCTGATATACTTCAAGTGAACTGGAGTGACATAATTTCAAACAAAATCAGACCAAATGAAGTTTGTTTGTAGTTAGTTTC